GCTGGCACTTCCCAGACCGACGTCGCACAACATTTTAACGTGCATCCATCAACTGTCAGTCGTCTCATAAGGCGCTCCCGAATCACTGGGAGGGGTGAGGACCGGCCACGCCCAGGCGTTCAACGAGTGACCCCGCACGCCAGGACAGATACATCGTTGTGCCATCCCCAACCCCCACCCCCCGAGATCGAATCCAGACAGTTGAACAGACTGCCAACAACACTATTGGAACCAGTGGGAGACCCATCAGCAGCCGAACCAATGGGAAATGTTGGGGGAATGTTGGGTTTTTTTCTGATGAGTCTCGCTTTCACGCCTCTTTCCCAGATGGACGCCAACGTGTTTATCGACGTCAATGTGGACGTTTTGTGCGACCCTGTGTTATTGAGAGAGATCGTTTTGGTGGAGAAGGAGTAATGGTTTCGGGTGCAATATTGTGCGAGGCAACTGGACTGCGCGGCGTTGCGTCGAGACAGTTCCCCAGCCATTTCTTCTTCCTCTCTTGAGACAACATGGTGGTAACCGACTAGTCGTTCAGCAAGACAATCCTCGTCCACACACAGCCACCCTGACACGGAATTTCCTTAGGAACAACAATGTGGAAGTCATACAGTGGCCCTCCGGTAGACATGAATCCAATACAGCCCCTGTGGGTCGAACTTGGTAGGCGTGTGAGATATCAGCAGATTCCACCCCGCAATGGTGTAATTTTCCTATGTTAATACTGTTGACCTTTGAAAGTGAACACTACCCCTTCAGCCTTTGGCGATTGTACTCAAATTTAGCCATCACTTAAAATGACAAATATCCTGCCTGTTAGACCTAAATTGAATGTTTTGGGACTTATGTACCCTCTCATGAGTACAATACTTTTACATTTCTGTAACCCCCTTCGTGGATACAGTCACCAAGTGTCTTGGGTGAGTGAGTGAGTTATTATTTAACGTCACATCGGCAATATTTCAGCCATATCGTGACGAAAACATATGCGACATTGAAATGGAATAGATGTATGTTATAACAACCTGTCGACGAAGGACAGTAAAACAACTAGAATATCACAATTACAACTAAAACTAGTGTGGAAAATTAAAACTAATAGCACTATTTGGACAATACAATATAAAAACTGGCTATAGATCGCCAACAACTGAAGGTAGATCACCAAACTAGGACCCATGGGGACTTACAGTACTTTTGCTACCTGCATGGACCCTAGTTGGATTTATACCATCCCTTCAGCCGCTGGCGATTGAAGTCAAATTTAGCCAAAATTAAAATGACAAGAATACTACATTTAAAACAGCTGGTAATATTTAAATTCCCTTTGAATGTTCGGGACTTACGTACCCTCTCAGGAGGACAATAATTCTACGCTACTTCAAACCCCTTTGAGGGTACAGTCACTAACAATCTCAGTTACTAATGTAAACTACCAATAATAAAATATGTATCTATTTACAAATCGGTTAACAAGTCTAAGTATGATGACCTCTTCAATCTGGACTGACAACCCAAGTAGGTGTAACCAATGTAAGTTTTATTTCATGTAATTTATAAATACCCACTTGGGTGTCCCACTTCTTTTGCATCAGATCACGGATGTAAGTTCTAATGCTAGCTTTGTAATCAGAGTATGGAATAAGAAGTGGTGTCACAGATTTATTGAGTGCTGCCTTGGCAGCAAGATCGGCCATTGTGTTCCCAGAAATGCCAACGTGGCTGGGTAACCAACAAAAGACAATGTCGCATTGGCCAGTACAAAGCTCATTATACAATTCAATAATTTCTAATAAAAGTGGATGTTTACAAGAAAGATTTTTAATAGCCTGAAGACACGAAAGAGAATTTGAAAAGATGATGTATTGTTTATATTTACGGTGTTTATCAATATATTTAAGAGCTGTTAATATGCCGTTAGCTTCCGCTGTGAAAATAGAGCTATTATTTGGTAGTCGAGAAGATATTGTTCTGGATCCAATGACAGTGGCACATGCCACCGCGCCACCATCCTTGGACCTATCTATAAATAAGGATTTGTAGCTAATATGTTTAGTTTTTAATTGATTATATTCTTGTTTATATTGTAATTCATTAGTTTCAGATTTCTCAAACTTTGTCAGAGTTAGGTCAACTTCAGGCCTCATCAGTTGCCAAGGAGGAAAGAAAGAAGACGGGAAGAAGCCAGATTTTCCAGCTCAATGCCGGCAACAGAAATAAATGGTTTAATTCTGTGCCCAAGAGGCGGAATAAGAGAAGATTTTTTATTGTATGAATCCTCATAGAAGGGATTAAAGACACATTTAAATGCAGGGTTAGATGTGTTAGTGTACAGTTTGGTAATATACTGTAATGATAATTTGATACGGCGTTGTGCTCATCTGCCTCGACATAGAGGCTGTCTACAGGAGAAGTTCTAAAAGAGCCAAGACAAAGTCTTAGACCTTGGTGGTGGACAGAATCAAGTAGTTTTAGGTTGCTTTTGCAGGCTCCACCATAGACGATGGAACCATAATCAAGTTTGGAACTGACCAATGATCGATACAGATGGAGGAAGGTAGCTTGATCCCCTCCCCATTTAGAATTTGAAACCACTTTCAACAAGTCAAGTGCCTTCAGGCATTTAGTTTTAAGGGATTTAATATGTGGCAGAAAAGTGAAATGGGAGTCAAAAATTAGACCCAAGAACTTGTCCTTGACAACTTTGATGGGCGTGCCATCTAGAGATAGTTCAGGGTCTTTATGTGGTTTGTATTTACGGCAGAAATGTATGCAATTAGTTTTTGATACAGCCATTTTCAAGACACCATTTATTTATCTTGTTTAAACACAACTGCAGTTGTCGTTCAATAGTATGCATATTTTTCCCACGACAAGAAATATTAAAATCATCCATCATAACGATACATCTATTGAATCGTTTAAAACTTTTGATAAACTATTTATCTTTATACTAAATAGTGTAACAGACAAAATACTGCCTTGTGGAACACCCTGATCCTGATTGTAATGATCAGACACGGAAGAACCCACGCGGATTTGAAATTGTCTGTCCTTGGCTACTAATTGAGGCAAACGGCCTCGCCATCCGAAGCCAGGTAAATCTCTTAAAATGCCATATTTCCACGTAGTGTCATATGCTTTTTCTAGATCGAAAAAGATAGACACTGCATGTTGTTTATTAATTAGAGCGTTTTTAACAAATGATTCCAAACGCAGTAAGTGATCGACAGTACTTCTATTTTTACGGAAACCACATTGTATATCTGTTATAAGGTTATTAGTTTCCAAGTACCAAACAAGTCGATTATTTATCATTCGTTCCATGGTTTTGCAAACACAGCTAGTTAGTGAAATAGGTCTATAATTGGACGGATCTGTATGTGATCACGTCCAGGTTTAGGTATTGGTACTACTATAGCATCACGATTCTGGTAAGTGCTTCTAAAAAAAGGAAATATAATGAAAAGACTTAGGTGTGGAATTTTAAAATTAAACGTTAACGAGGGAATGTGGTTGGGAATTGAATTAAGTCAATTGTGTAATAATGGAATTGAAGATCCTTGTATGTAAATGCTACAGGAATTTAAGACGGCGTTATCTACCATGTATGTATCACCACAATGTTAATATTCACAAATTTAGCCAGCTAATGAATTCAAAGTGCAGTGATGTATTAAATAATTTATGTAGATATGATTGTCACAGCTTAATCTTAAGAGAACAATATGTTTGAAATTTGTATCATATATAAAACATCCATGTACATTCTATGTCATTCATGTTCGATTTAAACATATTATACCATGTGTCTATGGGCCAATGGCCTTCACACAAATAAACAACTTGACTTGACTCCTTGTGTCCCCGCCCAGGTTGGTTAGTTTGATACAACATATCCTGGTGTTCAGGAGCAGGGATGCGGAAGCTACTGCCTCTCAAGAACAGATTGCTGACTACAAGAATTCGCTCCTACAGAGGTGTTCGTTTTCACAGCTCCCACGTTGTGATGTTTGTTTGTTTGTTGTTTAACGTCGCACTCAGCAATATTCCAACTATATGGTGGTGGTCGGCACAAAATCGAGTCTGGACCAAACAATCCAGAGATCAACAGCATGAGCATCTACGCAATTGGGATACGATTATATGTCTCAACCAAGTAAGCGAGCCTGACCACCCGATCCCATTGGTCGCCTCTTACAACAAGCATGGGTTGCTTAAGACCAAATCTAACTCTTGACGAGTTCCCACGTTGTAACTTACGCTTTTAGTGCAAGCTCGTTCTTTCCGAGTACATCGGGTATGGAATACCGTGTACAGAGTCAATTTCAATCAAATCAAATCTAATCTACTGTGGGGCGGTGGGGTAGCCTAGTGGTTAAAGCGTTCGCTCGTCACGCCGAAGACCTGGGTTCGTTTCCCCACATGGGTACAATGTGTGAAGCCGATTTCTGGTGTCCCCCGCCGTGATATTGCTGGAATATTGCTAAAAGCGGCGTAAAACCATACTCACGCACTCGCTCTAATCTACCGTAAAATCGTCTTGTGTTCTTGCTCAAGACGGGAGACACGAGGCACATATGCACCAGAATTTAGTGATAATGAGTCTAACTCCCAAGATTCGCTTCCAATATGTTTCTCTGGTTCCAATAGAACGGGCGAATGGCGACCTCGTTTGGATCCGGTGATGCATTCGTGTGATGCACCGTACAACAACTGAAACTCTGTTAAGAGCAGCATTGCACACTATTCGCTGTTCAACAACTGTAATTCACATGTATACGCATCATAGGGTCCTGAACAATTTCCCATAGATATTCAATGTAGTGTTTGACCTGACTGAAGATCTTAATACAGACATTAAGCAATACCTACGTAAATACTTTTCGACATGTTTTCCCTTGAGCCTTGCGCAGTAAAACATAAGTCATTTGACTTTCAATTCAGCGTTAGATATATATTCTGCAACAGTGTGTTCATAAGGAATCCTGCACACAGCTACAGCGGACTACGGTTGTGTTCTGTCCGGGACTGATCCGTATTCGAGAAAATGGAAACCGCGGCAATCATATGGACCATTTTGATGATACTACCGAAATATGTCTTATCAGGTATTTCTTTTATTCTAAACTACTATTAACATAAACATATCATTGTTATAGCTTTTGGAAATTTATTTTCTTGATGAAACCGCAGGGCTTTGCTTACTTTGATGTGGGATTCAGTGAATTAAACAAATATATAGTAAAAAAACTTATTTATATATATATTGGGGGGGATGTTGGGTTTTGTGGTTATTGTTTGGTAATTTATTTTCTTGATGAAACCGCAGGGCTTTGATTACTTGGATGTGGGATTCAGTGAATTAAACAAATATATATGAAAAAAATTATTTATATATATATATATATATATATATATTGGGGGGATGTTGGGTTTGTGGTTATTTTTTGCTTTGTTTGTTTGTTTGTTTTTGTTTTGTTGTTTTCCGTGGGTTTTGTGTTTTTTGTTGTTTTTTTGTTGTTTTTGTTTTGTGTTTTTTGTGTGTGTTTTTTTTTTGTGTGTGTTTTTTTTTTTTTGGGGGGGGGGAGGTAAATGAAAGTATTGAATGTAGTTGTTCCCTCTGACGCGGCCTCCAAAAACATAGCTTTTTTATGTTTGCTTAATTACATAGATTATTTTATCAAAGAACTTGGTCTACGTGACATAATCATTAATGCCACAGATAAAACCAGTATGTTAACTGACGAAGAAATCTGCCAAAAGCATTCATCAGTGGTATCATGTCTTTTTACTCAACCTGAAATAAGTCCATTCTCCTTTTTGTAATGAATTCAAAAGCTACATAAAATGCGTACACAAAGAGATATATTGTAAATGTACCACCAAATCATTGTTTTAACCATAATCCTTAAAGCTATTATCAAGGACGGACTTTCTCGATAATCACAGAAATTATTTGAGACAAGCGGAATTAATACCATGTGGATTCTAAAGAAGTCAAGGTTTACATACATTTTAACATCCTCTCCAAATATGTCTTTTTTTCACATTGTACAACACTATCCCACTTGGTAGGGAAAAATTTCATTCCTTGATTCCTTGGGCAAAAAATATATATACCTATCTTCAGAGGTTCATCCCTGGATACACATACACACGCATGCACGTCGTCATATGAGCGAAATATTCTCAAGCACGACGTAAAACCCAATTTCACCTCACCTCATCTCATCCCTGGAATGGTGGCCTAACTTCCGCTGTTAGCGATCTCTTGCCTATTTTTATCACGTGTCGTTGATCTTTAGTTTTAGTTTCAATTTTCCTTGAGCTAGTGATGTAATAATGTGAAAACTTGCCCGTTACGATATGGCCGATATATTTCTGATCTGGCGTTATTTTACTTTACTCAAATCAAAGGTTCTGGACAATTTGTCAGAATTGAAGACAAAGGTCATTTGAAATTTGCCGAGAAAACAATATGTGAAATGCTGGACTTTCTCATTGACAGCATCTTTGTGGGTAAAACATTTCGACAAGAGTGAGTGAGTGAGTTAATATTTATCGTCACATCGGCAATATTTCAGCCATATCGTGACGAGAACAATTAGTAATTATATTATAGAGCAATAATATTAGAAAATAAATGCCTGTTGACGAAGAACAGTAAAACTACTAGTGTATCACTGATATCCATTTAGACCTGATAATTAAATCTAAAACAGTTTAACTAGAAATAACAAGACAATGTAAAAACGGGATATAGATTGCCAACAACTGAAAGTAGATTACCAGACTAGGGACCATGGGGACTTACAGTACATTTGCATCCTGCATGGACCATTTCGACAAGAAAGAGGCATCCCTATGGGCACCAAATGTGCTCGCCTCCTCGCGGACCTGTTTCATTGTGTATATAAATCTCATGTTGCATTTTTGCTCGGGTTGGCAAAATCAAAACAAGGTAATTGGCCAAGAAGTTCGACTTCAGCTTCGGGTATATTAGTGATCTAATATCGATCAGTAAGCATGAAATAGCCAATCCCTTCCACTGATTTATCCACCTGTACGTGAAATTGAGGAGACAAATAAGACCGTCACAACTGTTTCATATTTAGATCTGTATATAACGAGTTAGTTACAAATATCTCTCTGGTTAGCTGTATGACAAAAGTTACGATTTCAAGTTTCCAATAGTCAACTTTACTTTCATGTCGAGCAATATTCCATCTGCTCCAGTCTTTGATGTTAACATTTCACAACCTTTGAGGTACAATCGAGCATGAGATTTTTTAACAAGATTTTAAAGATCGTCATACTACTCTTGCTCCTCAAGTTGTTCGATCAAGGTTACAACATTCAAGACATCAGTAAAGCTTTCAAAACGTTAACCTAGGACTGAACACATGTTCAGCTTGTTTGATCCAATAATCTATATATTAACCATGATTTGCCTAGTGTTTAAAGCGCACAAATGTCGCACATGTTCTAAGTTTGCGCGTCTCGGGGTAATATCAAACATCAAACACATGCTCACTGGAAAGCAGCTGACAGTAAATTGTTTGGAGATACTTCAAATTGTAAACAGTGAAATTAGTATACAATGATCCATCTTCAGGCCCCAATGCTCCGATGTCCCATTTTTAGCAGAGGGTATACTACTGGTTTAGATAGCATATCAGTGGCAGGTATGTGCTGCAAATATAATTTGTAGCCGTTTCATTATCATATAGGCGTCTCAGTAATAGTGACAAGCACATTCGGATATACATGTGCCTAAAATATTGATTGATAAACTAGCAGTTTCTTGGTTCCAAATTGACTGAGAATTTCAGTAATTTACACAGTCAATGTTTTATCAAAACTATAATTATTTGACTGTAATGTGTAGCATTAATTATTTGAATGTAATGTGTGACATTATTCACTCTAGACATTAGCAAGTAACAGGAAGGGCAAAATATTTTGTGGATGACAACTTCCTTATATGAATATTTCGGACACTTTAAACAAAACACTAAGAGACTATCGTGAAAGAGAAATCAGATTGGATGAAATTAGCAATGCTGTTTACAGGATGAAGTGTAATAAAAACCCAGGGATTAATGGATTTCCTATTGATTTCTTTAAAAAACCTTTGGATCCATAGATTTATTAAAGAAGTATCAACAAAAAATGAAATGTCTTTGAATATGAAAAGGGGTGTTATCACCTGTATTCCAAAACCCCAAAAAGATAGAACATTGCTTAAAAATTGGAGGCCAATCACTTTACTTAATGCTATTTATAAAATTATCAGCTCCTGCATTGCACATAGAACAAAACCTACTTTAGATGAACTTATTCACTCTAACCAAACTGGTTTTATACCGGGTAGGACTATTAGTGAAAATACAAGATTGTTATATGATATAATGTTTGAAACAAAGAAACAAAACATTCCTGGTTTGCTGATTCTGATTGATTTTGAAAGAGCGTTTGGCACTGTTTCAAAAGATTTTATCAACCTGGTTTTACATAAACTTGAATTTTGCCCTGAAATGATAAGATGGATAAATAACTTATGAAACAACATCTTGTGTTATCCAACATGGTAATCTATCCGACTTCTTTGCAAATGTAACGGGATGTAGACAGGGAGACCCACTATCCCCATATATTTTCCTTTTTGTGGCTGAGATTCTTGGTTGCATGATAAGAAACAATGAAAACATCAAAGGTATTGCCATCAATGATAATGAATATAAACTGGATCAATATGCCGATGATACTGAACTATTTTCTGATGGAACTGAAAAGAGTTTGTACTCTGCTATTGACACAATTCATAAGTTTTACAAAATGTCAGTCTTGAAAATTAATTAAGATAAATCAAAATGCATTGGATCCAAAGCTAAATCTATGGATAAAATATGTAATGATCTGAAAATTGAAAGTGTAATTGGTGAATTTGATGTACTAGGTATTAAAGTTACACCAGATCTTGAAGACTTATGGCTAATCAACATCAGAAAGAGACTGGAGGAAATTAATAGACTCTTAGCATCTTGGAGAAAAAGAAATTTACCACTTATTGGTAAAATAACAGTAATAAAAACTCTAGCAATCTCCAAATTGGTCAATATTTTCAATTCCTTGCCCAACCCACCAGCAGAATTTATCACGTCCCTTGACAAAATGTTTTTTAAATTTATTTGGAATGACAAGAATTATAAAATAAAAAGGAATGTAATTAAAAACAACTATGAAGAAGGAGGTTTGAGAATGATTGATACAAAAACATTTATAGACGCTTTGAAATTATCTACTTTAAGACGGTATTTCAAAAGAGGTGATAAGGATAATCCATGCAATATACCTTTCCAAGACATATTTAATTATGGTGCAAATTCTGAAATTTAACTAAGATTAAAAATCCTTTTTGGCTTGATGTGCTAAAAGCATGGCAACTATCTACAAAAAACATTATATTGACCCAAATAACATTAATGAAGTTCTATCCCAACCATTATGGTTTAATCATAATTTTTAAAATTCATTAAACTTCATAAAGAACTGGGCAGATAAAGGGATTATAAATATTAGGGATATTTGTGATGAAACTGGATTATTGTCAGTAGAATCGTTTAAAGAAATATATGGTATCAAAGGCTCTTTTTTATTATTATAGATATTTACTACATGTATTACCTGACTCTTGGATAAATACTCTTAACCACTGTTATTTAATACCAGTCAGGGATTTAAATATTAACTAATGCCAGATATATCTAGTAAAAACATCTAAAGGCTGCAGGATTTTTTATGATAAACCTATTTCCAATTATATACACCCAAATATGTGTAATAAATGGCAGCTGCTATTTCCTGAAATAGACTTTGATTGGAAAAATATATTTACAGTATACAGAAAAGGATCGCAAAACACAAAACTTTTAGATTTTCAATATCGATTTCTACAAGGTGTTATTTATACAAAAAGACAATTGCTTAAAATGAAAAAAGTTGATAGCAGTCTATGTTGTTTCTGCAATGAGAGTGTTTGTCATGTGTACTAGGAATGTCAGGAGACACAAACATATTGGAAAAACCTAAAAATTTGGCTTAACAA